GACTCGGTTCGATTTCGGAAGATATTTTCGGCCGCGGCACGGGAATGACTCGCAAACGAGCATGCGAGCAAACGGCGCAGCACGTGGCAGGCCAGATCGAAGGCATTTCCATGCGCATTAACCGAACAGACGGTCGTCCATCACAGCACCGTCGCAAGTGCAATTAAGCCAACCAGTGCCGCATGCAAATCGGCGCATTGTCTTGACCCGAAGTGCCGCGATGTCGCCGGCCCCGCTACGCTTTCACAAACGGCACCCGAGGCCGCGAATCTATCGAATTCCTAAATTTCAATAGTCATTAACCCTTTGGCTACGACAGATTTTTACACATACCGCACGTGGCATACGGCAGAAGGTCAATTGCGACCTACACTAATGAGGGAACCTTTTCAATCAGCACACCAGCCGATTTTGATGAAACTTATGTGAAACATAGTTCTCGAAAAAATGCTTGATATGTATGTTTTCTTGTCGGTCAGTATCCACTTTGTAGGTATGTGAACACCCTTAAAGTTCAGGTTTGAAGGTATATTTTTTACAATATCTAGACAATTTTTTCGTTAATTGTTCGCTTGAAAATGAACGATTTTTAATCCTTTTGTCAATAAAGAAATAGATTGAGAAGTTTTCTACGATTGTTTGCAGATCTTAGTTTTGTATTGGGGAAGTGTATTGAAACACTTGAATTTTATAAAAATTGTTCATTTTGCTATGTTTTGTAGATAAGGAATCACTGTAATAAGGAAGTACTCTATATTAAAAAGATAAAAATATAGTTTCTATGAAATATATCCTCTTTTTCATAGAAATAGCTATATCAATTTTGTAAACAACATACATCATTGCACGTAGGCGTGTATCACGTATCTATAATATATGAAACGCGCATGGTTACTCTTTCATTCTTCATTCTCTCCGTAGCTAATTCCATTCCCTCCGTAACTAATTGTAGAATTCATCCAGTATTTTATATTAAAATATCCCAGGGTATTGTTTCTTACAATGTCTAAGCTTTCTAACTTTTTGCACACGAATAAATTTTACAGCGTACAAAATAGCCGATAACCATATGCAGATTGTCTATGAAGCATGACGAGATCAGCAAAATTTTCCTACTAGATTTGCCTAATGTTTACTGAACAATTTGTGACGTACCATTCACCAACATTGTCAATAACAATGCATTTTGTTTTTGCTGAATAATCTCAAATGCTTCACTATACTATCTCATTGAATATTATTATCATAATATGACACATTTAAATTGCTGTATCGCAGTTGCAAAATAAAAATTCTTTGGCTATATCAACAGCCATACAAAACGAATTTATTGCCCGAATTTATGGGGCGACCTAATGTCTGGTCGTAAAGTCTTTTATATTCAAGGAGATGAATGTTCCTCTGGCCAACCATACCTTTATATCTCTTGAATACTTAACATCAGCATGATAGAAATTACACGTAGTCCTGTTATAATTATGTTTTGAAACTTCCTTATGATTTCAGATAGTGAGAGCTCTTTCTTCTCACTTGTAACGCGACATGCATGTCATTTTAATCTATTACGAACACTTTTATACTGACAAAGTAATTAAAGCTTATGCCGCGATATTTTTACCAAGCATTGTACGTTTTATTCCGGTTAATTATAATGTAATAAAATTTTATAAAGTATTGTGCAGGGAGTTCCTAGGATGTAAATCAGACGTATATTATAGCCTCAATATAGTAACAGTAATTTCATTAAACAGTAGAAATGTACTATTTACTTTATACCAGTGTAGAGATGCTAAATTATTATTTCAAAGATTTGGGTAATTAGTCTTGTTATTTACGAACAAGTAATTCTCATTCATATAGAGAGATATAAAAAATATGTGTAAAAAATTACTTAAAAGATCATTTTAGGCACAATTCAACTCACTATTTTAGATTGAGTACTATTTTCCTGGTTAGAATTCAAATTGTCAAATTTAAATAATTTCTGTAGATAGTCCAACCTGAATATGTTTTTTAATAGGAAATAATTGACAATAGAACATTTCATTATTTTAAAAAATATTATAACCATTTAAAGTAAACTACCATTTACACTAAAATTATCTATCCTAAAATTGCAACAATATAGAAATTAAAAAGATTTTCAATAATCCAATAACTAGCAATACTAGTAAATAAAAAATACAGACATATCAACGACCGAAAGGTTAACAAATTTCTTGCATTAATCAAGAAAGTAATGATCTCCAGCAGCCATTCGAAGTTCAGCATTCGAACTGCATCCGACCACTAAAGTAAACAAATTGTAGGATATTATCAAGCCATGCGAATTTATAAGCCGATATAAAATTCACTAAGGGCCTGTGAAGGTGCTCGGTGGTACTAAGAGTACCACGGGTGGCAAAAATATACCACCATATGGAACGGAGGAGAAGAAGCGTAATGAGATCGCAAAAAGAATAAACAAAAGTTCCTCTCGTTTCGTGGATAAAGAAATAATGGAAACCGATTGGGGAATATTCGAAGATTGGTCGTTCGCTTCTCTGCAGACACGTCATGGCAACGTCTGGCGTGCATGCATTGGGCAGAGCTGTTGGTTTAAGCACAACGGGGATTCCGTAAGAGCCTTTTGTCCTTCCTCGATTCCAGTCAGAATCACCCTGCCTGGTTTAGTTTGCATAAACGGGAAACGGGTTTCAGTCAGAAAGAGCTTTGGTAGTTCAGCGTAAAAGAACGGTGCATTGTCACGAGGGCAAGGAAAAAAAAAATATACGAACGCACCTCTTTCGATTGGTCTCGCTTGCACCATCGGTCCCGTTCCTCTTCCCTTCCCGCGTTCTCCCTCCCTGAGTTGCACTGAAAGGAAACCGAGGGCAACGAAAAAGCTGATGTTAGGAGAATGCAAATGAATATGCTCAGAGGAGCGGTCATTCAAGTATTCTCCTCTAATGCCTGACTAATGCGGTCGCGTGACAATTTTTGGACACTTGACAGAAACGGGGTTCGCATCGTTGAGCTCGATGAAAGACGATTCTTGCGTATCGCTGAAACTTGAGGTTTTTCTGTGAACGGTCAGTTTGAAGTTTCATTTGTCTGTTTTCGTAATTGTGGTTTTCGTCCACTTGGTTGTCGCTTTCTTAAACGATGAATCGATGTGCTATCGAATGCGTTAAGAACGTATTATATCTTAGTAATTTGGATCTGGTTTTATTATGAATTGAACTCCTTAGGAAGGAAAGATATTTTTAAAGTTTGTCTCTGTTCGGTCTCATTCGTTTCATTTGTTCTTATACATACAAAAAGCAGAAATTGAATGAATAAGTGGAAATACATTAACTGATATAAACCCTCTATATTTACCAATATAAGAAGGTGATTATCTTACTGGCACATCCCACTATTCATTCCAACATTCATTCCAAAATATTTTACTTGACGCAAATTATCCAGTCATCAAAATTCTCCAAATCCACCTTTATTTTTATTCCTTCTTATTATCTACACAGAATAAATCAAAGTATTTCATATTACGTACGTAATACAAACTCATTATTCCCTATCAATCACACTAAACCCGCACCCGAATCGATACAAAAAATCTGCTGTCACCCGTTGTACGCCACAACCACCATAGAAACAACATTTACGATTCTTATTCAAATATCACGAGCATCAAATATATCCCTCCCCGATGTATCTATAGTAAAAATTGGTTCGAATCAATGTCGGTTTCGCTCGGCGTTATCGAAGGTGGCGGAGGAAGGGAAAGAAAAGCGATAATTAAATTTCATTACACGGACACTCGAGCGGGCAATGGAAAAAAGCAGGACGTCCGGGCTATCGAAGACCGTATTAAACGTTTGAAAGCCGTTGACCATAGTGATCGTTGGCTCTGCTTTCCTCGTGACAGCCTCCACCCCCTCGATCACCACCGCAACCCTTCCCGACCCGCTGCGTATGCCGTTGCGTTTCATTGTTATGAACGCATGCAAATTGCGATCCCGCTACCGGGACGAGTATCAATTCTAACAGGATTAATTCGAGTGCAGTCATTGTTTTTTGCGCGTCACAAAAAGCCCACCGTCCCCTCCCAACCCCCCGTGCTCCGTTCCCTTCTGTACCGCGACGCCGAGTAACGCGTCCGCCTCGTTTCGAATAATATTTCAGGATGTATGAGAGCGGCACGCCGGATTCGGCCGGTCCCGCTTCTGCAAAGAAACGGCCAGTTTATAAATTGCGCTCAATGAGTTGCGAAACAGGGATCAACGCGATACGGTCGATCAGTCGTTTTATTCTGCGATCGAATTTAAGCGTCCCTCCTTTGTAACCACTCGAGAACTCGGGAACCGGAAATTTATATTGTTTAAAATTTATGAACCACTGTATTTATATTGCGCGGCATGCGAACAGCGTGATGCGGCGTTCAATTCAATTTTGTGTCACTTTGCGTGGAAACACTGATACATTTCAAATTTCAGTAGGATTCATCGGTAATCAGGTCTGCGCAGTATGATTTGAATTCTTAATTCGTCGTGGGTTTAGTTTTAATATTAATTTTGAATGTGTTAATTTTATTGCGTTATTGATTAAGTAACTTCATGTGTTAAACAAGTAATGGTGGAATAGTGGGTTTAATGACGTAGAATGTTTAGGGAAATGCAATTTTTTAGCAGTTGGCGCTGAATACTTAATGTAACGTGTATCTTTGGATTATAAAGATAAACGAGGAGTTTATATTTTCAATAGTTTATGCTAGAAATATATAAGTTTGAAAGAGGAAATATATTTGTAGAGTCCGAGAAAGATGAGATGTAAATTTTTCCTAATTTATGTTGAAGAGCGGAACGTTTATATTGTAGTGGATTCTATATTTACATCGCATGTTAATTTTTCATTGAAAACTGAAGTTTTATGGAGTTTATGTCGAAGGCCGAGCATACAACTAAGTTATTGATTCCCTGTTGTGCTTATAAAATATCACGGAAATGTTTATGTTTCAGAAGGATGATTTTGCAGCTATCGGCGCCGCCATACGCCAATATCTTCCGGAACGAGATATGCCGTATATCTTAGATATTGATTTGGACTTCTTCAGCGTCCAAAACCCTTTCATCTCACTTCACGACGAAGTCAATTTGTACGAAAAAATCGCCACATTGTATGCGTTTCAAATACCTGAATCAACGGATCCTATGGTAAGTAGAAGAATGTCAATATGATAAATTTAATACTTGTTGCTAGCAGGCACAGAAAATGTACACCTGTCCCTCTATTTACGCGGCACTTCTGTTACACGAGCTTCTTATTTACGCGATTTCCTTCTTACATGTGATCTGAATTTAGTGACGTCGAATAAAATTTACTTTTGTTTTTTGAAATATCTTTATTTTTGTTTTTTTTGAGCTGTATGAAATAAATATGTGTTTCTATATTTATACAAGCTTTTTTGTCGAATATTTTGTTTTCTTTTGTGCTAGCAGAGTCTGCTTACGCGATTTTCATTCGTTAAAAATGAATTTACCTGGAACGAAAAATGGATAAATGATTCGTGTAAACGGAGAGACGGGTGTACCCAGTCAACGCTATAAGGACAGCATATTTATATTATAAATATAAATATGAATATACAATATAAATGTAAATATAGATATAAATGTAGATATAAATATAAATACTTAACTTTACATTTACTTAATATTTAAAAATAATGTTAATATATTTATATTTATTTAATATCCTGTCCATTTGCAAAGAAAATGTCTTAATCCACAGCATTTAATTGTTGAAAGATTATATTCTTTTCAGTACTAGATATTTAATCGAACTATTACAATTTACTAAATGTTACATATAAATTATGTAATTGTCTGCAAACAGGTTTAAAAAATATTCGAAGTGAAAAGGTGTGAGCTATGTATATTTTTTCAGTTCTTCAAAGTTGCAACATATAATTCAGCTTCTCATTTTAATGATCGACATTGTTGAATACCTACACTTATTAGAAAAGCATGAGGTCTAAGATCCGTTAATAAACAAACAACAAAATTTAATCACAAATCGCGGCAACTAACATCAAATTTCTTGCTGATAGTCTCTGATGAAATAACAATACGAGGGTTGCTGCGAAAGTTTCAGAAAAATATGAAAAACCTCTCAAATCAGTTTGAAACGACGGTTTTATTATTTCTCAAAATATTCTCAATTGTATCGTATCTGCATTTTTAACCTTAAAAGTGCAAAGCTTCACAAGTATAACATAAATTCCCGTGTCAAAAGATTCCCGAAACTTCTGCAGCGATCTACATCCAACACGGGTGCTCGGAATATCATAAACATAACATATTCACAACACGGAAATTCAATATAATAGAACAAAAGCATTTGCAAAGAACACGTTGTACGTGCCGATATAAATCGTCTCGGTAGAAAACTTACTTATAATGGGGCCCAGCTATTTCATGGCCAAGGGAAGCAAAGCATAAGGCCGAAGGAACGTACCGTGAAACAAAAGCTTCTAAGCCACCTAGTTCGAACTGCAGCTGAATTAAACGGAAACAGCGAGGCCTGGTTACCAAAGACGGAAATTCGCGACGTTGAGAGTAACGAAGAGGGAGTGGGAGGGGTGTGTACTGACAAGGAGCGGAAGATTTGCGAATAATTAGGTGGGCCGACAATAGCCGGGGTCCCGTGGCAGACCGGATACACAATGTGGCCTGCCACCAGCGGAATAATAGACAGAGAAGAACGACTCTATGGGGTTTTAGGATTCGACGGACATAATGGCACTGGTCCATTGTCTACGTAGCTGCAGACTGCCAACATCCGCTTTCGAGGGCGGCTATGTCAGCTCATCTGCATGCCAGTTTTCGATCCTTCAAGTGTTTGGTTTCCAGCATCGAAGATGCAAATTACCGCCGCAATTCTATCCGATGTTCGATTGACATCGATCACGTAAAGTGGAATACACTGTTACACGTTCATCTTGATCAGAATATTATTCTCTGGAAAACGGAAAATAAGTTGAAATAGGAAAATAGGATAGGTATGTTAATAGACTGTAATTATTGGCTTTGCATATTACTTTGTTTTTGTTGAACACTGTATAGTTTGATATTTCATAATTACTAATTTTAATTTTAATTAATGTGGCTTATTAATATTAATTGTATATAATATTATTTGAACTAATTTTAACTTATATTGGTAATTTACGTTTCGAACAAAGGATAATTGCGTTACGGTAATCACAGACGTATAATATATGCGTGACAATAGCTGTGAGCTATTAACAATGGTTACATTACGTATGGTACATAATGCTTCGCAATAATATTTGATCGTAACAAAATAGTTTGCTCATTAACTTAACAATCCGGTACACCAAACTCATTTCAATGTTTCCTTTTGTTTGCAACTGCACCCACAGATTTGCGATGGTGAATTAATTAATACCCAGATTAATGTCATCTGTCAATGCCATCTGAAATGATTGATTTCTTATATTTCTTACACCTCTAACAAATTGCTCTATTTTAAAATATTCATCTATCCTTAAAATTTCCTCCTATGCAACATTCACGTAAAAATTATTTATACCGTATAATATGTCCCTTCATATCATATATTCGTGTCTTTCATAGTTTCAGTATATCGCGAGATATTCAACGTTTCTACGTTTATCTACGTTTATTCTAAAGGTTAACGCGTTCAGTGCCGCACGATTTTGCCGAGAAAAATGTACAAAATGAAAATAATGGAATATCAAGTTATGTAATTGAATTGCGTTATTATTAATGCAGGTTTATCTTGTTGAATGTCACTGCATTAGGTAATGTTACTTGTAATATAGAAAAGTTTTCAAATAATCATCGTTTGATCGAATGAATTATAGTAATTCGATTTTGTTGGGGTCACCGGTGACCTCCGTGGCATCCAACGTGTTAAAAATAGATAATATATAACTAATATTTCCTTTATATGAAAAACAAATAATATCTCGATTTGTCAAATACACTTGAAAATTTTCATCGCGAGTCTGACTTTTAAAGAAGAAGGGATTAAACAATCGTATAACTACATTTCGGATAATAATTCAGTTGCTCAAGCAGAAGATCGTCTTCCAATGCAACGCCACGAGTTTCCGTTCGGTTCCGTTGAATAATGAACATCGCAAACATGTCGATCGAAGCCAAGAAATTCCCTTACCGTGGGATTTTCGCAAGGTGCGTGTCAGTGGAACGCAGCCACGCACTATCGGTTGTCGTTATGCTAATCTCTCGATCCGGTTAAATGTATGTCAGCTCGAGGAGCTGGCTGGAAAGGGAAACTGGATAATTTCGGGACGAAGGACTCTAAACAGCCGACCGCGTCCTGCGCATAAAATCAGTATCGTCCCGAAATATAGCGCATATTTATATAGCGGATGGCTTCGATCTAATGTATGCGGGACAGACCGGTGTGCTACCTGTCTTACCCTGAGAACTCGGCATTGCATTGTGATTGTAATCGCCGGTTGCAGGTCAGCTCGCGGCCTAACCGGGGTCAGGGTCATTCTAGAATTATTTAAATTACGCAACCCGCCCTCCTTCTCTTCTTTGGGGACGCGCGCGCGCTTGTGCGCTGCGGCGATCCGCGATCTTTTGTCGAACACGACGAAGAAGGGAAAAGGACGAAGGAAAGACGTAGGGGGAAATAGAAAGAAAGCATAAACCCTTCGAATTCGATAAGAAATATTTGCTCTACTGAAAAAGTCGTTGTGACAATGTCATCTGAAGGTTCCAAAGATGAGGCACTCTATAGAAATGGAATTCACAAATTACCATCACGCTGGGGAGAGATTGTTAGTAACGATGGAAATTCTATTGTTCAGTAAATATTAATAAACACATTGAAAACGTTTTAATTTCTTTTGATTCGAAAATAGACAGAACATAGAAACTTGGACATAAAACCAGGAGGTGGACCTAATATTTTTATAAGATTCCTTATCAAGTCGTGTCTGCGTTATCAATAAAATTTCTTCTCTTTCAATTTAACAATGGACAGAAATTTCCAGTAGATCTAATATGTGCACCTGGAAACCTTGGCGTTTTATTCTTTGACGATCGTTTGATTATCAATCACGAGGATCTGGCAGTGCGAGTAGCGATTCGAATGGGTGTGCGTGGAAGTTTGATTTCTTGGGAAAGGATGTTCTTAACGCATAACTATGCTGAGCGGTCACGAGTAACTCGTTTTTACAGGATACAAGCTGTCCGTGAATTAAGTTACGCTTGCGTCTTATTCATTTTTATTTGAAGGTAATATGAGCCTTTGGAAAAGTGTTTGAGATCGTATTTGTTAGACTGAATTGTTTTACTCGGTTTAATGCATTATGTGTAAACGAAGTATGTAGATTAAGATTTAAAGGAGTCATTTTTGGGTTAAATTAGTGATCAGAAAGGTGTTTAGGGACGAATTGATTTTTCCTTATCTTCCTTTGTTCCCTGGCATCTTTGAAGGAATTTAATAAATATACAGAAACGTAAATGTACATGTTTCGGCGTTTGAAATTGATTAAGCAGTTCCTTCAATGATTAATTGAATTCATCAATTCATTTATGCGTTCTGCAGTCTAGACATAACAAGGATACACATTTTTATGCTACTGTATTATATAAATGCAGTTGACTCTTTCACTCTATTCCATTCACCGTAAATGAAAACATTCTTTATATTCAATTTGTGAATAAGTTTGATCATTAATAATCATTTAATTTCTTTTAACAAGTAGAAGATGATCTCAGGTTCTGTAATATTGTATAATCGGTGCCCTTGTCGATGAACGTTTATACGTCAATCGATTTTGATCGAAGACGTCTTGGACTGGCAATCGACCGGTAATATCGAATTCCACAGTTCTTTGAATTTGTTTGACCCAATTCATTTTCTCAGGATCAAAGTCGCGATGTCCCGCCGTGATCCCTGCAAAAGAAGAAATAACACGAGCAGGGGGTCCAGTATGCAAAACGGGCCCGTTTTCTGGCCTCTCTGAATATTGATGTGTAGCCGAGTATGCAAATGAGCGTGAGAATGCAGCTCGTGCCGGATGGTGACGCGAATAGACGAACCGGAAGTAAACTACAACCCCACCTTCTCCCCCTTGCGACGTGCCCTTTCTACCGTCGAGGTCGAATTATAGTCATTGACTTTTTCT